GGTGAACTTTTAGAAATTTTACCGTATGGAAATCAATGTTTATTCCTGTATTTTTTTCTTGTAAAAATCAAGGTTTATTCTTGTATTTTAAGCTGCCGTTCTACATATTATTCTACACGCCTTTCTGGTGGACGATGATACTGTACTTCTCTTGGACTTTCTATGATTTCGACAGACCTCGACGAGGCTCTGGATGTTGGGTTCGTTTTCGTTATTCTATCGCGCATTATTCCTCAGTTTCCAAGCTCATCGTCACATATGCCGCTATATTTGTGTCTTTTGGTTAATAATCACGTAATTTAAACAGCACCGACATTTGTTACTACTGGACATCGCTGTGATTATAATTTTACTTAAATATTAGAAGGACCAGTATCCACATATCATGGATAATGGGAATCGTGCTGCTCTCCACCTAATATTCCTTCGAATTGCTAATTGTTGGTTGAGTAAGATTTTCTTTCCCGAGAGTCTCGAAAGCCGTGCTAGCTGGCCCCTCCGCGTGGTCATCATCGCTTGTAGCTACTTGTTACGTTCCCAGAATGGCAGTGGTCGCTGGCAATTGCTTAAATATTGAACCGATCAATTTCGGATATCCTGCTGGGGAGACCTCTCCGCTTTACGTAAATGTTGGAAATTACGAAACATTCTCCCGAGACGATAGTTGACAATCATTTGGTGAGGGAGTGCACTTTTAGTAATCAGTAATAAGGCTACACGTTAAAAAGTTGGGTTTTACAACCAGTTCGATGCTTGAGTGCTTTGGAAGTATTGTGGCGACAGCTAGTCAACATCGAAGCCGAATATGTAGTTCTAATTTAGTTGTCTTTATTAGTAGTCTATTTTATCGTATTTGGTTTGGTTTGATATTTGGTGTTGATTGATTGATTGCTCGTATTGGATGAATTGAAGAAGAAATGTGGCGAATCGAATGTAATTTAAAGCCAAGTGTTACTTTGCTAGCTTACCACCATGTTTACCTTATTAAACAACTTTCCCACTCTAGAAAGAAGTAGCCTTGATGACGCAATATTTTCCTGTAGGTCCCATTTGCCGGTGTAGTTGAAGGGCATAGAGTGAACAACCGTTTTGGTATTGATCCGATAACAGTTCGTCAGTGTTCTTATATTTCTTGTATAACAGAGTAGTGGTTGGATTTCAAGAACTGACTGCGTGACGTTACTTCTCACTTCATTGTGTCAGATGCTATTCTCAGAATGTGCCAAAAATCCCATGTTAGTAAATCCCAAGACCGACTTTCTTTTAACCTCAGCATTGGTCATTAACTCACTGTTCTTCATGATGAGTAGACGAGAGGTTGTTGTTTTACAATTATTCACAAAGAAAAAGTTGACGTTTCCATGAACTTCGAATAGTTGGAGCCAAAGGTCAAACTGACATGTTGTCTACTCCGCCAAACACTTCCATAACCTCAGCAGACAAAACTTAGCAGTAAATTCTTATTTGTGTTATGCTTTCATGCTCTGAAGAAGGCGAAGATCCCGAAACGTCAGCTACTGTGCACTAACCTATATTTGTTGGTTCCCCAAAATATATTTCGTCGAATCAACTGATGGAACTGAGTAGTCAGTTAGCGCCACGCCGGTTTTTTTTGTACTACCGTAGAGCGAATCACATGCCGCCCCGTTCATAGTCTATTGGTTGGAGTGGAGCGCCAGTAAACCTTCCATTTCTCCCTGTAGCGTGCAAGAACAGCTCAGCGGGTTCTGCGCGCTCTAGGGACTCGTTGGGCATCGTAAAACGAAAAATGCTATGGTTTTCATGAAGGAATCCGACCATCTCGGTGGTCTTTTTTAAGTATGTCTGATATCTCGAGGTATCCCGTCGCTAGCGGCTCTTGCACACCAGTTGTCGTTCGTACGCATTACGTGTGTGACAAGCTTGTCTTCGATAGTTTGGTGTATAGAACAGCGTCAATGGTTTTGATCTTTGACGTAAGCAGGAACTTCGGATCGCTTTCCTCACATGAGTAATACGAGATACACCTAGCATCGTCATTTCGACTGCGCGTTCAATAACGCTGAATGGTCTCTCACCTGCTTACCCAACGACCAGGTCTCTGTCACATACGTTAAGGCAGGAAGTAACGTGGAGTCGAAAAGGTGGTCACGGAGTCTGGTATTCTTTGTTTTTTTAACAACATCCTCGATGCTCTTGAAAGCTCCTCAAGCCGCTCGTTTCCTTCTGCTTAACTCTGGTGTTAAGTCGTTATCATGCTGATTTCCCTACCTAGATAGGTGTAACTGGAGCATTTGGAGGTACTCATTCTGTTGAGCGTGAATGGGCATACGAAACCAATCCGTTTCTCATGAACACCGTTTTTCTTAGAATTACTCGATGACCAATCGTTCAACAGGCTTCATCAAAGTCGGCGAACATTCGCTTCGCTTGACTATTGGTTAGTGTTATAAGAACGATGTAATCAGCAAAGTGAAAATGGTGTAATTGCTGACCATCGATTTCCACTCTCATGTTGTTGCATTCCGGTGTTCGCATGACGTTCGCGAGAGTGGCGGTGAATAATTTTGGCGAGGTGTTATCGCCTTGTCCAACCCCTCCTTTGACATCGATGTTGATATCACTATAGAATGGTTATATTGTCGTTGTGAAATTTTTATGAACTGCACAATGAATTTTTATATAATGAGCAGGGATGCCCTAGCTGTGTAGGCCTTCTATGGCTGCTTCCATTTCAACACAGTGAAAACTTGAGATTAAATTGATGAATGTTAGGCAAGTTAGCCATAGTCTCTCGTACTCTTCTGATACTTCGATGTCTTGTTATTCATGGTACTGAGTCTTTTTCGAAACCCTGCTTGTTCACATGACCGTCCTTCGCCCAATGTTCTGCAATCCTGTTTAGGATGATTCGAATAAAACGTTTGTAGATGGTAGACAGCAAGCAGATTGAGCGATAGTTGTGGAAATCGTGGAGGTCACGTTTCTTAAACAGTAGCGGGTTCCTGCTGGTCTTCTGTTGAAGGAGAGCCTTGCATTCAACATGTATCTTGTGAAGAGCCGAGCCATTGTGTTTATGAGCACTGGTAGACGGTTCTTCAGGTAATCAGATCTTATCTCTGCTCTATTTGGTGTTGTTCGACTCTTCAGAGACGAAATAGCATATCAGATTTCGGAGGGGGAACCGGTAGTACGACATATCCATCGTCCTTTATTTCGTTTGGGGGCAGCAGCACGTCACCATTGTAGAAATCTTCGAAATAATCGTGAATGGTTTTTTCCATTATCTATTTGGTGGCCATAACTGTTCCATGTGAGGGTCGAAGTGTAATCTTCTTGGTTTTGTAACTTTCGGGGTTTGTATGGAGCGATAATATCTTTTTTACTGGTAAAAATGAGTTTCCAAGACCGACTTTCTGTTAACCTCGGCATTAATTGATAATTCAATGTTTTTCATCAATAAGCAGACACGAGGTTGTTAATATAGAATTTATTAGAACACAATTGCTGACGTCTCAGCGGTTTCGCCTTCTTCAGAGCCGTTTATTTGTTGTAAGTATTTAAGTTAGTTGGTGGATAGCCGCCGCACAGAGTAATTCATGGTCGATAACTGTCAGTTATACTGACAATTACTCTGTGCGGCGGCTATCCACCAACTAACTTAAATACTTACAACAAATAAACGGCTCTGAAGAAGGCGAAACCGCCGAGACGTCAGCAGTTGTGTTCTAATAAATTCTATATTAACAACCTCGTGTCTGCTTATTGATGAAAAACATTGACAAATGAGTTCGAATGAAAATAATACTCTGAAGACAGCAACCCAGTGGATTTTCGTTCTCATGACGACGGCGATATTACAAATATTTTCGAGGATGTCTATTTTTTAATTTACTGCTTACTATTTCTTTCACGGCATGCTATCATGCGAGATACAGTCACAATGATGCTGAGATATATACAAAACTTGTGCCATATGCAGATTTGAGCCCGCGACTACTCTTTCCAGGGCTCACGTCCTACCCACTGCACTACTGAGGTCCCTGTTTTGCTTTTTCTCGGCCTTTTATTTTAACGGTGTCATCGTCAATCATAGGTCTACGGGAATGATCTGGGAAGCAGAAATCGGCATTTAACCTAGTTAAGCTGAGGTTGTAGTCTGACGTTTCCGCGGTGTTCTCACAATGCGAATAAACATCTATGCATTAAGTTCTTTCTGTTGAGGTTATGATAGTGTTTGGCTAAGTGTATTGGGTGTCAATTTGACTCTTGGAGTCCCTGAAGAAAGGGAAACCGCCGAAATATCAGCCAGTATTATGTTGCGTGAATCTTGCTGTTAACAACCTCATGTTTGCTCATTAAGAAAACAGTGTGTTAAGAGAAAGGAAAGAAGATGAAGTTGATCAATCTCTGAAGGATGCACCATGCATTCGACTTTACTAACCATCGTTAGAGTTGATTGAATGCATATCTGACCTAAATAATGACTCCCGGTGGCTTACCGATGACCTACCACGATTTCATCATCGCTGCTATCCTCCCAGATATCTGGTAGCAATTTGCCGAGCCCGGCTGGAAGGATGGTGGCTTAGTGTGCCTAGGGCGCGGGAACAATCCCAAGTGTGGAGCAGGGTGCCTCTAACTACTGCGCTACACGTGCCCTTAGTGTATTAATGTTGTCTATAAATATGATCCGATTTCGCATAGCATGCGGATCTCAGCGCTTGTTTAATTCGGTTCATTGTACTGCTCCCGTTGTCTATGAAATTGTTCGAGTTTTGCGTTCTGCTTCTTGACGAGTATTTCTTCATGGATGTCGTAGCATGCCTGTCGAACTTTTTCTTCCTGGAAGATTCTGCGATATGAGCAAGACTGTGAGTTTCGCTCATATTTCAGCATCCTTGTAGTTGTATTTGACATAATATTCTGTGTGATTAAAAAGAATAGGCACGAAATAAATTATTTTCACTATGTACATTCGCTAACCTTTGTAGATCAGAAAGAGATTCCCCCAGACACATATGGTGTAAATCTGCTCAACACGAAGAAATTGGGGTTTACTGGACCTGGACTGCGTCAAAAAATGTCATGTGTGTGCTGCAGGACTGTATTGTTACTATTACTGTTGTAAAAACCTTTGGTTTTGATAAATATATAGCATGCACTCAACTGCCCAAACCATAGTAAAGGTGATTGAATGCGTATTCGGGTTATTCAGTGATTTGCGGTGATCTATCGATCTATCTATTAAGCCAGTTGATATATTTATTTATGTGATCTTATAAACTGATCTTCTTAAGCTGACACGAGGTTGGTACACATCTTCGTTGTCGTTGTTGTTGTTTTTGGTGTTTTCACACGTAACATCACGGCTCTGAGGAAGACGAAGTCGCCGAAACGTCAGCCATCGATCAATAACATCAAAAACAACGACAACGACAACGAAGATCTGTACCAGCCTCGCGTCAGCTTAAGAAGATCAGTTTATAAGATCACATAAATAAATATATCAACTATCTATGCCGAGGTTTATAGAAAGTCGGTCTTTTGAGTTACGTTCATTTACTTTGTCGCAAGAGTTATCAAGCCAGTCTTTTTTCTTCTCAGGCAAGTTATGTGCCAATTTGCTGACGTCGGTGGAGGCCTTGCTTTGCACGGGGCACGGGATTGAGCCAATTATGTGTCTCTATCTGTAGCCCCTGTAATACACGTGCCCAATTGAAAATTGATTTGCTCTCACCATTTCCTTGCCATTTAGTAAATAAATTAAATAATTTCCTTGGAATAGCAAGCGCATTGCATTGTGTTCAATTTGTTGGTTGTATTTTTTAGCCTTGGTACAAGAACCATCCAATATGGACTCATTTCGCTGATTACTTCCCACTACGAATCGTTAAAACTGCCGATTTGCCACCAGATCGCAACTACATTATCGGGTATGCAGATTTGCAACATTTTATTCTATGCTTCCCGAAGCTGGAATTCTCAAGTCATCGAGGACAGGAAATGAATTTTGAGAACAATTGGACTAAACAGATAATCAGGATGGTCATGCAGCAACACCTATTCTATGGCACCATTGAGATGTACTAAAATAACACATTCCGCAAGGAGAAAATGCTATATGTGATGCAGATCAAAGGAAGTGAAACATTTCCTGCGAGATATGTGTGATTTTGACCTTCACTACATCAACTTGACTGTGAGCATTTAAGAAAGCACATCGTTCAGAAAGTTATTTTTCACAATCACTTGTCTCCTAAAGTGGTCGGAATTTTCTCCACTTTTGGTTAGAGTCTACTTAGTTCTGGTCTCTATATATGTAAATAGAAAAGATTTCTGGGTGGTCGCTGATGGCAGTGTTATGTAGAAAACTAGTTGAGAGAAACACGAAGTAAGGGCCTTCGTAGTGCAGTGTGTAGCTATCGTGGTGCGATTTGGCCCAGGGTCCAAGTTTTGCGAATATCTTTGGATCTTTGTGGTTGAAAAAATTATTTGTTTTTACTGTGACGTGTTTTATTTTTACTGCCTGTTTGTGTAAAAACTAAAATATTTTGGAGAAACAAGAAAAAAGTAAGGAAGAACTTGGCAATTTTTCCCTTTCCCCTTCCTTATCAAGGTTCTACAATATTTCTGCACTAGAGAGAAAACAATCAAAATCGCAAAAAGAGAAAACTAAAAGAAAAATTTAGTCTTCCAAATTGAATGCATGATCTAATGGGTAAAGAAATTAGATTACTCTTGTGCTATCTGCCACACTTTGCACGAGTGGGAACTATCCATTGCAGTCCAAAACTCTCAAATAGCAGTCAGCTGAAGATTTTGAGACGAAGAATACTTGTCGACTAAAGCTCCGATGTTTTGTTTGGAAGTGATGAGTGGAAAGGATAAAAGAGGCAAAACAGATCTACAATCAATCCCATTTGTGAAAGCTTTTGATGAGACTTCAGTTCTTTTACTACGTGGTGTATTTAACACCGCTCAATAAGATTTTTAGCTGTCATCCTCATGGAGTCTTTTCGATAGGAGCGTTCACTGCATTGGTGACGTCGGGCTCCGGATTTCCAGACATGTTCCCAGGATTGCAATCTACGCTCCTCACACTTAACGGACAATTTTGGTTCCCTTTTCGCAGAGACGTGGGCATAGCACTAGGTACATTTTTTCTAAATGGGACATCCACATACTTTCACTTTGAAATCTTTGCCATTACAGAAACAGTTGCATTCATAGTAAAAGAAAAACCAGGAGTTTCATGAATACAGCATTCATTGTCCTTGATGAAACATGCTGTTGGCGTATCATCTGTCCTCTTAAAAATCATCGAGTGATTCGAATGGGTACAAGAAAACTTGTTTCTCTCTGCCACGTTCTAGAGTTGTCCAATGGATTTTATTTGCTTGACAGACTAAAGAAACACTATATTTTTCGTATGAAGTGCTTGTGACCCGACCCGGATGGTGTAGTAGTGAAGTGCGCTGCTCCCCGGTAAGGACAACAGCGCGTGTTCATTCCCCACTGCATACACCTGTGGTCCGGAGTTTTGCAAATATCTCAGCACTTTATACGAGTTATATTTCACAATATACCCTGCCATTAAGCAGAAAAAGGCAGTAAATAAAAGAGTTAAGACTATATTTTTCTTCTAGAATCTTAGCGAAGAGGCTTTACCATCTGTTTGATGGCTTTTCTTGTGTGTGCTTGGTATCACATGGAACTCAATGGTCAACTGTTCTTGTAAAACAGTTGTCTTTACGAAGTATGTCCAGCCTACCTAATTTTCGACATGTTAACGTATATGTATACGGCGGCGCCTGCGATCCTTGATCGTCGGCTAAGTCTTATATGCGTGGTATAGGATAAGTCCAGAAACAGTCTCCCGATAGCGTGTTCGATAACGCTGAGTGGGCTTTCGTCCTGATTACATACTGTCCAGTTTCTCAAGACGTATTTTAAGACAGTGAGAACAACAGAGTCCAAAGGTTCGACAAGAAGCACGGTGTTTATTCTCGTTGCTACATCCTCGATACACTTGTATGCTTCTCAAGCCACTCACTCTCTCCTGCGCAGCTCTGGAGTCATTAACAATATTGCATTTCCTATGCGCAAAACCATAGCTATAGCTGAAGCTTTTGGAGACGGAACGAATCGACTTCTCATGAGCGCTGTTTTATGGAAATTGAAAGAAAGACAGAGTTTTCAACAAGCTCTCATTTGTTTCGCCCAACTAAGATTTAATGTTATAAGGACGATATAATTACCAAGGACGTTTTTGTTTACATCACCAGTGATCGGCTTCCTTCTTTGGTTTTGACACAATCGAAAATGTCATGGAATACCAGTTTTCACGATGTTGCGTTTTCTTCTTGTACACCTCTATACATCGATGAAGATCTCGTTGCAGAACAACAAAATTGTGGTTGTGATGTTGTGGCACAGTTGGTGATTGTTACGTTTTGAGTGGGAACACTAACTTGCCGAAGTTTTCGCAGTTGTTTTTGATTTAATTGGTTCGACGGTCTTTTTAATTATAAGAAGATGAGGCAAATGATCTCCACACTCACGCGATAGTAATGTTGTCGCGGTCCTACTAGCTCGTTTGGCTGTCCTTAAACTAATGTTCTGTTATTCATGAGCATAGGTTGATTGAAGAGCTTGTAAATGACAAACAGTAGGCAAACTGAGCGATAGTTGCGCAGATTTGAAAGCTTTCTGTCTTGTGCAACAAAACGTTTTGTTGGTTCTCTATTGTCTGGGAACTTTGTGTTGAGTGTGATTTTCATATACATTGTTCACACATGATAAACGAGGGTCCAGAATTCTCAAACCGGTGTGTAGCGAGAGAAAATTTCCTTTCTGTAAATGTCGTTTAATGGTGGGGCACAATTTCCTGGTTTTGTATCGTGGTGTGTTAATTACTTACTTAGATACTTGGATGGTTTGTCCTCACCGGTTGTGCGGGCCTCAGCATAATCTCCATTTTTTCGGAATTTTGATGATTTAGCCGTAGTGGTTCCCGGAGTCCCGAGGTCAGCCCAGCTAAAGTCTGCTCCCGATCGCCACCACAGGTGTTTTCTTGTTAGTTCGCCGCTGTTGTGGATCAGAGCGAGATTCGCTATCATGCGACTAGTTTGATACCAGGATGGTAGTGGATCTTGGTTTGTTAATTGCTAGCTGATTTCTGTTTTCGCTACGGTTTGGTAGTAGCCAGTAGCCGTATTCGTGACCTGGATTCTGTTCATCGCTCTTTGCTATGATTCGTTAGGTAATAAACCACAGAGAAACAGTAACTAAATTGCATAGTTTTAATGAGGTATGAAAACATAATATTTAGATAACGTAGAAAAACCTGGACTTTTAGGCAATTAGATTCCGTAGTTTCAAATAGAAGGTTAGACGAATTACCAGTTAGTAATTTTCGCGCATGGAACCAATATAACAATGGAAAGCAATTTTGTGATTCGAGAGTCTTGAAAATGTTTTAGGTGGCTGTGAATGTTCACGGCAATCACTCGAATACCTTTTGGAGAATCCTGGAAAAGGTGCGTCTTTAAATGAATGTCTGTTGTAGTGTTCTGAACCTTCTTAGACCTTTGGTTCTTTGGAATTATCTGATCGATCTCTTCCAACATTGATTAATCTCTTCGAAAGAAAACTAATGTCCTTCTAGATTTGGTATATTGATGCAAAATAAAAGGTTCTAGAAGCAAGCAGAAACACTGAAGATAAGGCAAATATTCGTAGGAAAAGTATGAAATCGTTTCAGCGATATCACCAGTTTTTGAAACACTCTTCAAAGGCGGTTTTAATATGATGTAGAAGAATCCGTGTGCCTTACAGTTATTTTTAATTAAATTAAGGACTAATTCGCTATCAACGATCATCGAAGCTAAACGCAGTCTGTAGAATGGCCTTCACATTTCATTTTACAATGAGATTCATTACAGTCGATTATGAGCGAAATATATATTCAAGGAGAAAAACGATATGAATCTACTGAATCCATTTCACTGTTCGTCGTAGGATCTCTTAGTTTTTATTTCATAGGTGTGTTGAAAATGAGGATGGTTTTCAGACGTTACATAAAGTCTCTGGCAGCAAGGCAATATTTATGTCGTTACAGTGGTTTTGATGAGTTGTCCTACTTAATAGTTCATAAGACCCTTTGTATTTAAACAAATTAAATGTGTTTTATAGGTAGAGCTATTGGTATAGTGCTAGGTGGCGCCACGGAAGCATTGGATACCCATCCTGGCAGGCACGATTTGAACCTCTCTTCTCGACGAGGATTCTGCCGTTACGCTCTGAAATACGGGTCTGCCTTCATTTCTAATCTCCATATTTTCCTTTGTGGGAAGAAAGTTCAACAAGAAGTTGGAAACGCTTGTATGTGGCGCCTATTTCTGTCTCTGTTATGACGTGATTGTAGCGATTTTACAATTCTTGTTAAAGTGGAGCAATCGATAGCTGGTGCTTATACTAACACGCAATGGATTTACACGACAAGTCCCTGTCTTTATCCGGCCAGATTTACTTCCCGTTAAGCTATTCGAAAGTATTCCCAGCCAACTAGGAGATTCCTGGGCAAATTGCTTTTGAATACCCTTTCACACAACGCAGTAAGGACAAAAAGCTTCATACAAAAAATATGATTAAGTTCGTATCCTTCGAGCGAGCGAAGTCAACTTGCTAGTGCTGACGGACGAAGACCAAATGAAAGCCTCAGATGCGCTTGTCCAAGCCATTCCATGACTGAAAGAATTACATATTATGCAAGCCCCAAATGATTATGCTTCAAATTAGGCTGGTCATCGAAGGATTAGATTGCCCACACCTACAAAATTTATATTAAGCCTTCAACTGTTTCGTAGTAAACTGTTAATAAACGGTCAAGACAATTTTGCGTGAGAAATCATATGTCTGAAATCAATTCAACCCCGAAACCCACACGCAAAAAGTTCGACAACCTTCGCGAATGAAGCATACAACAGTACATGAGTCGAGAGCATCGAGAGCAAGAGGATCTGCACTGTTTCATATATGACATTGTTACATGTAAAAAAAAATACCGTTAAGGATAGGTTAGATTCGGCTATTGTGTGTACTAATGGATTCCTTGCGTCTCGACCATTAGTACTGAACTTTCCTTTTGTTGAAAACTGACGATACCGATTCATCTTCACGGTTTTACATAGCACACCTTGCATGCAGCCGAAAAATCTGTCGGTAAAAGGATAAATAAAACCTCCCGGCGCTGATCAATTCCTGAGGGATGCGCCGTGCATTCGACTCCATTGAGTATCATTTAGAGGTCATTGAATGCATATTTGGCCTTTGCAATGACTCGCGGTAGCCTACCGATGTATCGTGCCAGTGCTGCTATTCTCCTAGACAAGTCTGGTACGAATTTACCGACTCGAAGGGATGGTGACTTGGTGCGTCATGGGCACCGGGATCGACTACATGGGTCTGTCGCAGTGGCGCCTCCAACCACTACGCCACACGTGCCGTCTGCGGTATTCTGTGTGTTTTTTGTTGACCTGATTTATTTCAATTTGTATGGATATGTGTTAGAAACTACGTTTAACAACCCTTCATTCAAAAGGTCAAAATTGAAAAGATTAGCAAGTGGAAACGAACTTTTCGATGGCAGCTTTATAACGGCAGCAGTATTATCCTTCACGTCATTAATAAAGTTTAGTGATACCAGGCATGAGAACTCGCACTGTTTTCATCTGTCATTCTCGAATTCACTTCGGGTCAATTTGCTTTTAACTTAGAACATTTTTGCTTACGATTAACGCTGTCGCATGTCTCTTTCATTTCAGTGCTGATCTTGTGCCAATGTACAGCTTTGGGGAGAACGAAGTCTACGATCAACATGAAAGTCCTCGAGGCTCATCTATGAGGGAAATTCAGGTTCTCATAAATAATTTTGAAAAACAAACTTGCTACCGCAGGTCGATTAATTTTAGCTGTTGATCAAAAACAAATTTGGATTCTTTCCTCCATTAATGCGCGGACGAGGTATCCTCAACCACAGCTTTGGAATTCTTCCACACCGTCGACCCATTACTACAGTTGTTGGAGCACCAATAAGGTACTATTCAAAGAGAAAAAAAAAGATGACACATATCAATAATAACAGCCCCAGGACAGGATATTGTGTCGACAAGAAATTAATGCTTTTGAATTAGTAAAAAAGCATCTCTTTATCAAACGGTTTATATTTGGGTACAAGGACAAACATTCTAGAAAGTCGGCTCTCCTAATAAGCCAGCTGGGAACAACAACAGCCTGGTGAAAACGAGACAGTAGGAATTGTCTGACAAGTCGGTAGTGATCCTTATCTATCCTCTGAAGTGAGCAAAGTTACTGGTTGAGACTATTAGGGTTATTACTCAGAGGAGAGGTTCTAGAGTGGCGCAATTTGCGAATTTTCGAAAATGTATTGCATAGGCATGGTCTTTTGCGGACCAAATGGTGCATAAGAAATTATTTTTATGTTAAGAGTGCTCGTAGCATATAGTGGATCAATACTAGCCGGCACATTGCTTCATACGAACGACAACCGACGACAGGTGACAGGTGACAGATGATCATAATAAACATTCCTTATAATACTGGATCACCGGTGATTATCTGCATTCGCTCGGCCACCATACGATAACAGCACAACGAGATTCTGGACCAGCTAAGTTAGCCGACCTAGGTAATTTAGGATATTTGGCCCACATCTGAGAAGGTCCTTGGAGGATATGGGAAATCCTAACAATAACTCTTCGCCACACCGATACCCCTTGTAGCTGCGACTGCGAGGACAATCATCAGCTCAACCGACACGTCTACCCACAGAAAAGGGGTCGAGCGCTAGGTAGTACCCCGTCTAGACGGCTCGTTAGCAACTGAAATCGCGTGGCTAGGAAATGGTTTCATATTTTACGTTTAAGTGGGAGATCATTTGCTTCTCACCTATTTCACTTCCTGAGTGTCCTCCTTGACAGCAAAGACTTCATTTAACACAAAGTTGTCAGATTAAGACTCAGGCACTTAGACTCATAGCCGTAGCAATAAGTCAGGAGAAACGTCCATTTTGTGCTGAATCTTATACACAAATGAGATCACTCAATGTGATAGTTGTGTTTTAGAATAAGACGTACTCTCTTTGAAATAAGTACGGAATATAAGGAAACTATGTGAAATGCAACCACATTGAAATAAAAGCGAATTTGAAACAAAATTAAACCTTAATGGATCCTAGAGGTGTTTTTATAGTCTCTACAAATCTCACTAATTTCCACTATGATACTACGATACTCGGTTTCGTTGGAGGTAATTCTTGTGTGTTTCGATCCATTAAGCTCTAGTGGCGACAGATTCTTATACGTAGAGATGATACGATTGATGTTATCATCATTGTGGTTGCTTTTCACATAATACCCTATCGTGAAAAATTACAGTAGGCTATAAATACAGAGTTAGTAACACTACGAAGATACTTGATACTTGAACGGCTCGTCCTCACTCACTGGTTGTGCGGACCCCTGCATAATCACCACTTTTCGGAGATTTGCTGGTTAAGCCATTGTGGTTCTCTGGAATCCCGTGGTGGGCCTGGTCAAAGTCTGCCCCAGGTCCGCACCACCACGGGCAGTTACAGCCCTTGTGGACCAGAGGGAGATTTGCCACCATGCGACTTTGATACTAGAACGGTGGCGGGTCCTGGTATTGGTTTACTCTCAGCTAGGCTTCCTAATGGAAACGCCGGCTTCCTTCTCAGCTAGGGAAACCCTACCGGGAGGCGAATCCCCTCTGTGCATCGCAGTCCGACACCCTGGAACACCTCCCAGCGATTATGAGGTGGTAAACCGTTGGGATGACACTATGAAGATAGTGTTTAAAAGTTGCTTTACTTTCCTGCAACGCATCCTACTTGAAGATATGATTGGAGTTGCATTGACAGGTTCAGCAGAATAATATTTATTGAGTAAATTTTTAACAGCATACATTTGAGTGTCTTGTTCCAGTCTGCCATGAGGGGTTTCTTCTTGCTGGATTGTGTGGAGGGGGAAATTGAGCAAAAGTAATCGTGATGAGAAAAACTAGCAGCCTTATAAAGCGGTCGTGGAATAAACACTGATATGAAGAGTGTGGTAACATTATAAGACAGAGAGTATTGTCCGTGAAATCGGGAATAGTCTCTATACTTCTCACCACCATTGAGGTAAGGCGTCTTTCTTCTATTGAACTACTTAGTACTACTGACCAATGCACTTTGTTCTTGTTTGGACTGCAGCTGAGTAAAAGTGGTCGGGTTGATGGGAGGCACCCTTAAATCATTTTCATGAACTGAACAACGATATTAAGAGTGTGATAAGATGATAAGATAGACAGGATCGTTTACGAGTTGAAGAACGTTCACTATATGAGTGAAAATTTGAAACCTTATAAAGCTTGTTGACTTACTACACGTAACCTATACAAGTAATCTCCTATTTGTCTCACTAACACGTGAGGTTTGCCATCGAACCCCACATGTTCGAGGGCACACAGAAATCACCATCCTTCTGCAGTGGTGCTTCCTACTTTCCTGTTTCTGGAGACAAAATAGCTTCGAGTTGCTGGTTCTGACATGGTTGATTACTCTTGTCCAGACTTCCGAATGGAAATTTAGAACTTCTCAGTTTCGACTACTAAAGCTAAGAATAAACCCTTGTTGTGCATCGCTATTCGACACACAGAAGTACCGTCAACCGCGACTAAGTGGTAAACTGTTGAGTAGAATGACAGTAAATATCGCACATGTCACCTGTAACCCGTTATTTCGGATGTGATCTAAGTGGAAAACAGGGAAGTTTTCGTTCCTGTGGAGCCTTACAGCCATCCAGTGGATTTCCTTAACTCGAGGAACACGAAAGACTTCGCAATTTCCGTCTAAAGGCTTTTTTTTCTTTTTTTCCGAAGAGAACAGAGCCATGAGTGATTTGTGGGCCTCTACTTTTGTATAGATTTATATTTATAAATAGCTGAGCTTCCAGATGGAATTAATATCAAGAGTAATATTTGGATACTTGGATGGCCCGTCGCCAGTGGTTGTGCGGGTCCCAGCACATTCTCCATTTTTCTCGGAGTTTTGCTGGTTTAGCCGTTGTTGTTCTATGGAGTCCCGAGGTCAGCCAAGCTAAAGTTTGCCCAGGTCGTTACTATCACAGGCAGGAACTCGTCGCCGTTGTGGATTAGAGGGACCATCATGCGACTAGTTTGGTACCAGGACGATGGTTCACTCTGGTATTGGTTTACTCTTAGCTGGGTTTCCTGATGCAAACGCCAGACTCCTTCTCACCTTGGGAGACCCTGATTGATGGGATGAATCTCCCCGCTGTATATCGCAGCCCGACACACAAGAACACCTCCCAGCAGCCACGATGAGGAGGTAAACAGTTGGAGGATCAAGAGCAATGGTGTTGCTAAAAAGAAATATTGTTGTCATGATACTATTTCGTAGTGATTCTAAAGATCGAATTTCAACTAGTCATAGGAAATAAAAAATGTGTTAACAACCTCGTATTGCCTCTTCAAAAACAATTCATTAAAGAGCAAAAAATTATCTTTGTTATTAATTACTGCTGCGATTATAATAGGCTTTTCAGAACACATCCCGTCGAGCATCCAACTGATCGTGAAATAGACGCTTTACATGCAAGGTATTGCAAAAGTCTAATTGAGCTTTTTGAGAACCATAAAAGTCTTCACAACATCCCAAAGCATGTCCATCTTCAGATATATTGAAAATTGAGAAATGAAATGAAGATTTCACGAGAATATCTCAAAGTTTATGGGAAGTATACACTATTTAATAAAATATTATCATAAACTTTGTTCGTGTAATTGTTCTTTCATACTGACATCACCTTTGCTAAACACGAACGTCAACTCGTCCCACAGATCAATCTTTATGCGCGTGATTATTTAACAAACAGACGAGAACATAAGTAAAAATCTCCATCTATGATATCCAACCATAAAATGTGAGGGGAAAATCCGATTACAATACTTATGTATGCATAAGTATGTCTAGTCGTAATATTACCGTAATCCTTAGCGACTTTTCGTTTTTCCTCATCGAGTGATTTCCAGTCGAACTACTCTCGTGGATTAGTGGCACGTCTCCAGATGCCGGAGACCTAGGCGGATCCAAAAGATGGACTACGTGCTTCTACTGTAGCGACTTGATACATTTCCAGCATTTACACAAACGTATTCATTCGTGCGCTACGTGAGCGTATCTGTGTACACTTGATACGTGATGCTTGAATGGCCCCCCTTCACAGGTTGTGCGGGTGTCACCAGAATTTACATTTGCTGGTTTAGCCACTGTGGTTTCCTGGAATCCCAAGGTCTGCTTGGCCGAAATCTTTCCCAGGTCATTACTACCCTAAGCAGTCGCCGTCCTTTTGGATGAGAGGAAGATTTGCCACCACGCGACTAGTTTGATTTCAGGATGATGATGATTCTTGGTATTGGGTTACTTTTAGCTTGGCTTTCGGATGGAAACGTCGAACTCCTTCTCAGCTTGAGAGACTGCTGGCGTATAAGCTCCCGTTGCACATCGTAGCCCGACACCCAGGAACACCTCCCGGCCTTGATGAGGCGGTAAACCGTTGGGAGGATTTCTATGTATACGAAGACTATACTGTATGTAGATTCTCCCAAAATCCCCTAAACAAATGATCCGGAAATGCATGGGAGCAGGTTAGGACTCGTGTTCGTCAAGGAAGCTCATTTCAATCTTGGAAGAGTCTCGGCAAGCTACCTGTGAATATACATGGCGAGTCTTATGGACACTTGGATACCGCGTTTTTATGAGTCGTGCAAGCCTTTTGAGCTTCGTTGTACTGTTCTTCTCATTTACCTTGTCTAATCACTAAAAGATAATGGGCAAATCGCTCCGCGTTGATTAATCCCAGGAGGATGCGCCATGCATTCAACTTCGTGAAACTTCGTGGAGTTGGTTGAATGCATATATGGCCTATATAATGCCTTGTGGTGGTCTACCGATTTATCAAGTCAGTGTTGTTATCTTTCTAAACTGCTATAGTACGTTTCCACAGCGCGATAGAGACCACTTCAATAATAAGAACACTCAATCGTATTAACGCAGTGCTGGAGAGTGTGTTGATATGAATAGCAAATTATTATGAACCCTACCGAACATCTAAACAGTTTTATGTCGTAATACAAATCAACGAAATTGCAAAGAAAACACAAAAAGTTGTTGAAATGGGAGTTAACTACAGAACTAACGAAGTGGAAACTTGCACACTCAGGAACAAAATGTAACGATGAAAGCATGCCAGCAGTACAACATATCAAGAGGTAGAAAAACATACGAACGAAACCTCAACTAGGGACATCTTCCAAACTTCTATGTACAGCCAGAAGGATCGTACCCAGATGAAAGTACAATCAGTCTGCGTTATTATTACTTAGCTCACAGTATGCGGAAACTTGTCCCAATTAACAAAACCTCTATGGTCGGTGGTGACTTTATGCAGGGCGCACCTTACGAGTATTTAAACGTATAATAATGCATCTAAGACACGCAGCTCTGAGAAACTACGCATTAAGTTGCCAAGTGATTTTTAGTTATTTCAACAACGAAAGACATGGTATTAAACTCATCGACGATAACAGTTACAGAACAGATTTAAGAAGACGAAGAAATCTAGAAAAAAAACAATAGTAAAATCCAGTGTGCTAGCAAACCTTTTTGCTAAGGATAAGGTAGTCTCTTTCTTGATTTTCATCCGGACAAGAAACGTCAGTCCCATAACCGAGTTTATGGAAAAAAGCCAGAGATTTTTCGTTGAACGCGAAAACTGTAGCCATCACTTTTTCCATACCCGTCCTATAAACAACCAATTAATAGGTACACATAAACTTAATGATGACACATAAATAAATATTGCGACAAAGTCCAAAATCAAAATAAGACATAACTGACGAAAACAATAAACCTTTCAGCTAATGTTTCCAGTGTTTGTATTAACAGAGTTCCAACACCTTTTTTCTGATACCTTTCTTCAATTTGAATTTCGTAACTAAAGAAGAGTTTCGTTTAGTGTTGAAAAGACTAAAGTTCACCACTACTTTGGTATTAATAACCAAACGATGATGAGATATTCGCAAAACTTGGTGTAATGTGGTGCAGTGTGTAATGAGCGAGTCCCCGGAAAGGGAAACCGTGGGTCGATTTGGCCTGGGATCCAAGTTTTGCGAATATCTCATCATCGTTGTGGTTGTAATTCACATAATACCCTGCCACGAAAAATTATAGTAGGTCAAAGTTTAACTTTGGGATTAATATTTAACAGAACTTTTGAGTTACGAAGGTAATGTCTATTTACGAAAGAATGGTTACGAAACTAACCAGTAAACAACAGAAGAATGATGGTCCATGTCGAAACGATAGTGACTATAACCAATAGGTTCTCCGCGTTCATTTTTTGCTATTAAGAACCTGATATAAACGAAATTGTACAGTTATGTAATATTCAACAAATTTATGAAGTTCATAAGCAACAACGGTGGTGCACTCATTACGGTCAAAATGCTCGTGCTATTAACCAGAGTTTATCTCGAAATCGGTTCTTTCTTATTACACTCACCAGTCCTCTTCTCAACCAGAGTAGCACTAAGCAGCAGATAGAATGAAATGTGACATAATCTTTATGTTAAACTAGAATTCTAACGCCGATTATTCTGGAACTAATATAATACAAACAACACATTGCCGGGGTAAAATTTTATTGCCTATCATTCACCAAACTTGGTACAAACTTGTGTATGAGGGCAGTAAAACTTTCTGCATAATTTCGGTTCGGTTCTACGCAATTAGAAAGTGAACCTTCGGAAAAAGAAGGAGATTCCATTGTGGAGACAATTGAAATTGCTAACGCTTTATTAAAATAAAAAGGAAAAACTCTAGGCATTGATCAATCATTCCCTAAGGGATAAGCTATGCATTCGACTTCACTAAACATCGCTGGAGTTGATTGAATGCATATCTGGCCCATACAATGACTCGCGATGGCCTAGTGATGTATTGAGTGAGTGCTGTTATCCTCGCAGACAAGTTTGGTATCAATTTGAGGACCCGGGAGGGTTGGAAGACTTGGTGAACCTTGGGCGCCTCCGACCACTGCGCTACACGCACCCCTAAACGCTTAATTACATACCTGATATATGAAAAAAAGTGTTACATACGTCAAGCAGGTTACCCCTCCCTATGCATAACACCGGTCATTTTCCAGAGCACTGTTTAGCAAGACTGAACAAAAAAGGACAAGAACTAAGAGGGCATAAGAGGGTAGAAAGACTGCCGTGTATTTCTGCTAATAACTAATTAGATTATTTGCAAAATTGTGTAGAATACATATTCTAAAATAGAACACTTCGCTGGGGCTTGTTGTAAAGGAAAAAAAAGCACATAGAATGGACTACAATGCCAAAAAAAAGTAAAAACAATGAGTTCTGGGGATACACTAGTAATCAGCGACAAGATTAATCTCTAAGCGTAAATAAAATTTCCACCGCAGTCAACTACATCCAAAAACCACTAGAGAGAAAACCAACCGAGCAGTAGTGGCACTGAGCTCCTGCTTTTTCGACTCCTGATCCCACCCCCACTGCGAAATTGAGTACCTGAAATGTTGCAAAAATAAATAACAGTTTTGCTTATAATTCATAGTGTGCTTATATGCTATAATTATTAATATCTCATATATTATTATAATATTATACAATATAATTATAATTGTGCTTGTAATTACAATGCTTATAAATTGCCGACACTATAAATTGAAAGCAAGAACAAGAATAACTTTTTGTATTTGCTGCCAACTAAAATTTCCCATGGGAGGATATGATTTGAAATACAACCAAAACGACGCTGAGATATTCGCAAAACTTGGACCCCGGGCCAGGTCCAACCACGATTACTCTTTCCGGTACTCGCGCACTACGCACTGCACCACTGAGACCTTTGTTTTGCGTCAGGAGGATTGGATGGTTGATGATGGCAGCTTTAGGTGTTAAAAGGTAGCTAACAGAAACGCAAAGGAAGGGCCTCAGTGGTGCTGTATGTAATACGCGAGCTCCAAGAAAGGGTAATCGTGGTTCGATCAGGCCCGGGGTCCAAGTTTTAGGAATACTTAGCATCGTTATAGGAACAACACTATTCAAAAATTAACTATAACTAAACAAACGTATTCGAACACTGTTCCTTTGACGACTCAAAGCCAAAGTTACTGACAGACTTTATTCAGTAACAATTACCTCAGAAGTTTGGGAGCGAGAGTTAACTAATCAGAGACACACCTGTCGGACAATATTTCCAATTAATTTATTATTTAACTAAGAAACTTTCATCTAACATTACATACAAGCACTCGAATTATGTAACAGTTTTCACCTACAAATCGGAATAATCTGAGAAATTTGAATGGATGGCAGCAATGTCCAACCTTCATTCATCATAAATAATGGAATTCTTTGAATACTTGATTTGAGAACGTATTTTGTTGTGCCAATAAGATGGAACATGGAAAAGTATCTAAAGGATCTAGGAAGAAAAAAACGATTGGCTGCTATAGGTGGTTCCAGTGGACTCTGAAAGTGAGATGAATTCTTAAGGTTTAATTAACTGCACTTAGAGTCTATGGAAAAGTGGTTAAACTGCCAAGAATAGCACAAAGACAGAAGTCTTCAATACGAATAAAAAAGTAATTAGTTGGCACTTTTTGTACCAGCCCATACTCAATCACATGAATTATTACATTAACAATCTTTACGTTCCTACACCTAAGATGACAAATACTATGAAGAATAAAAGCGCAAAGGACAGAACGTTTAGTGTTAATCAATCCTTGAATGATGCTTGAAGGCACTTGGTTCTCGTTACGAATTTCACTGAATGCTTTTCTTCTCCTTATCTGAAAGCCAATTCTACGATAGACATTCTACGGCATGCCTGAGTCGTGTGAACCTAACAGAGCTCCCCAGGCAGTCTAGTACTTTGGCACTAACTTGCTAACCCCGGTAGGATGGGAGGCTTGGCTGGCCTGGAGCGTTGGGCAGAGCAGAGAAGCAGAGCCTTAAGCGTGTTGTATAACACCACTACGAATACCTTACCCACGCATGCATAATGCCTTAGGTCGCATTCATTGTGAAGGTTGCATGGAAGAGGAAAAAGTTCTGTATAAGGAAGGACACCCTAACGTGAAACCTCTACACAAAATTTTAGCACGGTGTATATGCGAAAAGAAATTCATCATTTTCAATAAATTTCGGGCAGTTGTCTTCTAAGAACTATTACGGATAGGTAGTGGATTTACTGTACCTAAAAAAATAAATAAATGCATTTTTTGCATTGTCAAATAAATGGATATTTCATACACCATCAGGCCTGCTCATGAGCTAAAATGTCGAGATATTAATCAAAGATTATTTTTAGTAAAGAACCCTGAATAAGCCGTGACAGTAACCTCACCGAATTTGTAAAACAAGTAAAAGATAAAAGCGGATAAAGCTCCCGGCGTTGGTCAATCCCTGAGGAATGCACCACGCATTCGACTTCATTACACATCGCTGGAGGTGACTGAAGGGCATATCTGGCCCTTAATGACCCGCGGCAGCCCACCAATGTATCGAGTCAGTACTACTACCCTCCGACAAGTCTTGTACCGATTTACCGACCCCGGAAAGATGGAAGGCTTGGTGCGCCAGGAGCGTGGGAATAGACCCTATATGTGTTGCAGGGAGTCTCCGACCACTGCGCTATACGCACCCTGTAAAACGAGTAATACAAATAAGTAGAATCGCAAACTGAAAACTTACAAATGAAACATGTTTCTTTTGAAGAGATCGAAAACCCATGCTGCTTGTTGCTCGGAAAGATGAGTAGCCCAATACATCTCAAATGAAACATTCTCTCTGAAAGTACTTCCACTAAATCCACTGTGGTCACCACCCAGTACCAAACTTATCTCATAACTCATGAAAGAGAACTATTTTTTGTCCAAAACAAATGAGCAACGGTGCGAATGTGCAGAAGAAAACAATCGAAAAATAAACTGACCCATCAATAGTCTTCCTCTCTTCAAGTGGAGGCAAACATTTAAGCTTATCTATAGGATTTAGCATTTTCGACGCTTTCTTCACATTTCTTCGTGACGCGTCACTCGGAGCCATTTCTGGGATAAAAGAAGGTATAGCTCTATCAATGACACAACAAACAACTTAGCTTCAAGAAAGTAGAAAGATATGAAGACATTTGAGATTCAAATCAGAGTCCAACAGGATTACAGCAAATCTTTACTTACACTGTAGGCATAACACATCAATCTATTAAAAAATCACATATGCACACGACTACCAACTCACGACAGCAAACGCCCAGTTACCTATGGGATTCAAGAGAGGTTGTGAAGTGCCACCACGTGTCACATTCGACAACGGGACAAAGATGTTGGAGAAATCTGCAAAAAACTCAGAGCCGGCATAAACTACTTCTAATCTTATAGCTCATTCCTTCAATTGGGGAAGATCCGGCATGGTGAATAACAGCAGCGTGTGAATGATTTTTGCGAAAAATTCATAAACTAAATGATTCCCCACAGCCGCAGGTGCCTTTGATATTTGGATTTCGAAAAACAAATTCACAGCTCAGTCTATCTGCTACGTAATCCATTTCGGTACCCAAAAGCCCAAGTTGAGCCTTTGGCTCTATCCAAATCCGAACACCATCCTAAAATAAGATGTAAAAAGTTGCCATAAGCAAAACACTGGACGTAATATCTACCTGCTCTACTTCTTCGTCAAACTTTGATTTTTCCTTGGCATAGTCTAATGTATATGTGAGACCATTGCAACCTCGTTGTCGAACACCAATCTGAAAGCACGGACTCTCAGTACTGGAAATCCTGAATTAAGCTAACTACAGATATTATAATACAATGCAAAGACAAACAGCTCGCACTGTACACTTGGTAACATAAAGTGAATTCCAGAAAGCGCGTTTGGTGCAGTGGTCAAAGGTGCCCTACAATACGTATGGGATCAATCCATGCATCCCAGCCTCACCAAGCCCTCCATCCCTTCGGGATGGGCAAATTGGTACCAGACTTGTCTGGGAGGATAGCAGCACTGGCTCGATAGATCGGTAGGCCACCGAGAGTTATTAGAAAGGCCAAATATGCATTCAATCACCGATGCTTAATGAAGTCGAATGCATGGTCCACCCCTCAGAGATTGCTCGACGCCGGGAGCTTAAAGCTTTTTTACACCTTTAAGTGAATTCCAAAATCAGTTGTTAACATTTACAGGGAATCAAATCAAAAACCCTGACCTTTAACGCTTTTGCACCTTTTTGCTTCTGAAGAAGTTCACGCACCCGTTGCACAGCTTCTGGTGTAAGAGTGAGAGCTGCCCTTTAAAAACAAGAGGATAAAAAGTCGCATAAAATGTCTTCAAAAGGGATTTCCAAGAAATATTGCTCTGCAGAGTGGACGTGGCCCCAAAGCATCACCAGAACACTAACCATAACTCCAAACATAAAAACCAACCGAGTTGGTTTCGCCCTCGCAACACCTTTAACGACTCGAGCCGTGGCGCAGCTCAATTTAGACATCGTATGTTCCTTTACTGCTTGATCCGTCCAAATACTACGACTCCACTTCTGCCGTTGAAAAGGAGGGTTCTGTTCCCATAATAATGATAGTTGAACGGAAACCGCCTACTATATCACAGCAACACAGGACCATTTCGAACACAGAAAAACCAATTAGGTGATAAAGTGATAAAGAGAAATCGAAACCATGGATCAGGAATCAGTATCATACTGCTGGGAACAGCACCAAGTTTAGGACACCATACCAGATTATTGAAGAGAACAGAATTTAATATTTCTTGAGCATAAACGTTTCAAGGTAATGTCCATATAAATACAATTGTATAGAACAAAGTCTCACAGTTACCAGACAACATCAGGAATTAAGCAGACTCCAAAAGATCGAAACCATTCAGCGAGTTCTTAAAAACTTGACGATGATTCAACATGGAGATAAATACAAATCACCTATTAAAAAATTTTAAAACCATTTTAACAACATAGAACACAGAACAGTTTATACTAAAAATAATATGATAGTAGTACTTCAGTACTGGAAAGTTGTGCTAAGGACACCCAGATAAAAGAACTTCTTGTGGAACTGTGCATGTATTTCCGTAATCATTGTATCGAACAACACACAGTCCTGAAGGTCCAATACCCACAACAGTTGCCGAGTAGTACTAAATAAACAAAGTACAGTTAACCATACAAGAAAATAAATTGATATAGTCACAATCTTAACTTTTTTATTTCCTGCCTATTCTTTTTAATGGCAGGGTATGCTGCGAAATATAACTTCTTTAGTGCTGAGATATTTGCAAAACTCCGCACCACAGGTGTATGTGGTGGGGAACGAACGAGCTATTGTCCTTTCTCGGGGGGTAACGCATTCACCACCACACCATGCGGGATCTTCGTTTCACCTGTCTCTCAGCTAGTTCTATCGACCACTTGCCATCAGCAATCACCCGTCAGCGGGATTGATCTGGGGCGCCCAACAACAAACCGAGGTGGTTGTATTTCGCTTAGTACCCTGCCGCGAAATTATAGTAGGCAGAAAATAAAAAGGTATAACATTGTGATTTCAACTACAGCCGCAGCTTAACTGGGTTCTATGCCGATTTGGGCTCCTGAGATCAATCCATCCCGTTGACGGGTGATTGCTGATGGCACTGGTAGATAGGGAACTAGTTGAGAGAAATGGGAAAGGAAGAAGCCGCATGGTGTAGTGGTGAGCGTGTTACTCCCCGGAAAGGGCAATAGTGCGTCCGTTCTCCACCGCAGACACTTGCGGTCCGGAATTTTGCAAACATCTCAGCATTATAGAAAATGAATGAACAAATACCATATACTGAACAGAATACTATACATTTGGAAGACCTGGCTCCACTGGTTGTGCAAGTCCCAGCATGATTTACATTGCTACCGAGCTTTGATTGCTTAGCTACTGTATTTTCCCAGAGTCCCGAGGACAGCCTGGCCAAGGTCTGCCCCAAGTCGTCACCACCACAAGCAATCGCGGCCCTTGTGGATCAGAGAGAGATATGTCATCATGCTACTAGTTTGATACCAGGATGTGGTGGGTCTTGGTATTGGTTTACTCTTAGCCAGGTTTGCTGATGGAAACGCCAAACTTCTTCTCAACTTAGGAGACTCTGCTGGGCGGATGAATCCCTCGCTGTACATCTCTGCCCGACACTCAGGAACGCCTCCCAGCCACGATGAGGGGGTAAACCGTCAGAAGGGAATACCATATAGATAGGATTATACAAGCACAAAAGGATTGGATTATTAGGTTCCAAAAACATTGAGTAGTAACTTGTCTTACCCGGCCGTCACTCCAGGGGGCGTTGCACTGATCGCCAAGTTTCCATGCACGTACTTTCCGCATGTAAGAACCTTTGTGACCTTTTGAAGCGAATAACATCTTTGGAACAACGCCTGTTGCACCATTAGCAATGGACATATTTGAGAAATCTGAAAACAGACATAAAGCACGAGGTTAAAGCAGAACAATGGAAAACAAGACATCTCACTTTGAATTATTCCATCTTGAGTTGGATCGCCCTCAAGTGATACGTTCATCTGTGATTTAGCACCATACGTACCGGCATTCACAGATGTTCCTGTTCTAGAAAACTATTGACAGTTGCGAAAGTTGGTGTAAAGTTGGCAAATATGATATAGATAGATACTTACTGGAACCGTTCGCAGACAGAACTACGATTCATTTGTTTCGAAGCTTGAGCTCGAACTGAAGTTCGTATATTACCAGACAAGCGTTGAGCCTTCTCTAAACCGGATGATTGGACACATCTGTCATCAGAACCGTTCTTCTTCTAAAAGATCTCACCACCCCAGGAGTCCTGTTTACTTTTACGGTTCATTACACAAGCTTTGAGCATGCGCCCAGATTCTCTTTTCGCTTCCTTTCTCAGCTTAGTGGTGTTCGATTCCCCATCGAGTAGATTTCCTAACAACAATCAATTGCGTTATAAAACAAATGCCAACAAACTGATTTCATACTTCTGGTAAGATCTTTTTGATCAGGACGGGTGTTGTGCTGATGGCGTGAATGTTTGCTTTCATAGTTACAGGACTTAGCGTCCTGTGTAGAAGCACAGTTCTGTAACAATCATATAGGAATGATCGAAAGGAATGGCGAAATGATGATGATGGTCGAAAATAAGGAAATAATCGAAGTGAAAATGATCGAAACGATGGATTTAAAACTAATGTCCTTTTTCAAAACATGCTTGCTAATTACACAACAGTGATCTCGACACTTGATACTTGAACGGCCCGTCCTCACTGGTTGTGCGGGCCCCAGCATAATCACCATTTATCGAAGATTTGCTGGTTAACCCGTTGTGATTCCCCGGACCGAGGTCAGCTTTGCCAAAGTCTGCCCCAGGTCTTCATCATCACCGACAGTCCTAGCCATTGTGGATCGGAGGGAGATTTACCAACATGCGACTTTGATACCAGGACGGTGGTGGATCCTGGTATTGGTTTATACTCTACTATACTCATACTCTTAGCTGGGCTTCCTGATGGAAACGCCGGACTACGTCTCAGTTTGGAAGAATCTGTCGGGGGAACGAATCTCCCTGTTGTACATCGCAATCCGACACCCAGGAACACCTCCCAGCGACGATGAAGCGGTACACCGTTAGGAGGCACTAGTGACTTTATTCCATTTAAACACTGAAGAGGCTCTAAGAAAGGTGAAACCGCTGTGACGTTAGCCATCGTATTTAAAAAAGAAGAGATACCAACTTCGCATTGGATTAAACTTAAGCTTAAGCTTAACGAAAGCCCATAATCCGTGAACTTCCATACACAAGAAATGAAAGAGAACGGAGTACTTCCCTTAAAACAATGTATTCTCATCAATCACGTACAATGTATTCCTTATTGTCGTTTTCTTCGCAATGTTCTCTCTATATTCCTTAATCTATAGAAATCAAATCTGTTTATATGCCGTTTTTTCTTCTCAGAGCGATTATTTTGCTTGCCTACAAAACCTACAAGCACAGCTGTACGCCTTAGCCTGCAAAAGCATGCCCAGCTAGTGGAACGTTAGGAAACCTGGAAATCCGTTGTTGGCGTATAAAGTGATGAAAGACCATTCAAAGGACGACATGCCCAAGACGATTCAAGGAAGATCAAAAATTGCTTTGCAAAACCCATGGTTACAGGATCCATAACTGATACTCGAAGAAGACATCTTCTTCCAACTCCAATGACCAGAAGGTAGTGCAAGTTGTTCGAAAAATACTCAGCATTAGTCCAAAAATAAGAATCTGCCCAGCTTTCAGTACTTGGGAGAATATCAGAGTTGATTTCCACGAAGATGCCGCTCAACCGTACTTTGCTACCGTTGTTCGTAAATGGCCGAATACCCACTTCTTTGAGAGACAAATGGATTATCGTGATCCACACGACTGGCCAGCCAGAATACCTGACTTAATACCCTGAGACTTCTCTCTTTGTAACTGGTTAGAGAAGCTAGCCTACGCTAGCAAGCCAACGACAACACGAATAGCGAATACGAGATCTTGCATTTCACATCCCAGTAAAGTTCCTAATGAAACCAGGTAATGTGGTTCCTGGACGGCTTGAACCCGGTGAAGAATGCTTGTGGTCAACATTGAATTTTAAATAAAACTCAATTCTATAGGTTCTCTTCTTATATTGATTTCTTCTAAAAACTACAGTTAAGGAACAAGTTATAAGGATTCCGAACTAGCTTCGGTGATGTGTTTAAAGCCCACAAGAAAACTGCAAAGGACACACTAGTGTATTAGAATCAGGAGCAACCTCGGAGGCGACATTAGCAGTCAGGAAATCGAAAAGCGTCGACGGCCTAGTTGAACGGAGATTCGCAGCGAGTACCTGAATAGCGAACTCATGGTCCCTGTAACATAAAGCAGCATTGTACGTTATGTAAATGAAGAATAATGTTGCAGATTTCAGAAAGAATGGCTAAAATCGGATGAAAATGGGTGGAAATAAAATAAAAGGATAAAGGATAGAGCTCTCGGCGTTGATCAATCCTTGAGGAATGCAACATGCATTCGACTTCATTGATCATCGTTGGAGGTGATTGAATGCGTAACTCGCCGTCACAATGACTCGCGGTGGTCTACCGATGTATCGACACCGTGCTGTCATCCTCCCAGACGAGTCTGGTACCAATTTGCTGATCCCTGAGTGATGGAAGGCTTGGTGAGCCACGGGCGCGCGGATCGATCCCATGTGTGTCGCGCGGCGCCTCCGACCACTGCGCTATAAGCACTCTCGGAAATAAAGCATACACATAAAGCATCGAAAAACACAAGAAACAAGAATAGTACTGTCCAAAATGATTAAAAATGGACATAATTGAGAAGACAAACAACCTCTTCGTCATCACCGCCAGCGCGTCGTCGTCTGTTGTTCTCTTTACGACGACGGTGGATGTCTCGGCTATTAGGAGGCACGGAAGGCTTGATTTCTTTCGAGAGACATGACTTCTCAGGTCTCAGTGGAGCTTGAACCTGGATTCAATTATATTAATAAAGGTGTCACGATAACTTCCGGCACACTACAGACTATGTAGATTCACTAAGACTCATGTGCAGAAAAGGTGTGGTCAGAATGGAAGACATGAAATGATCTCAACTTATGTGTGATCTCAAAGATATAGCACTTTCCGCTTTCAGGCAAGAATATCTCAGTCCATTATGGACTTTATCAACTATAATTAGGATCGTTGGAGACAACATGTCTTCGATAAATAAACAGTTCTTTTATTCTACTCCTTAAATTTCCCCACTCAAAATCGTATTTCGAGTAACAACGCGATTGAAAAAAAATGAGATTTAATCGGGTTTGACGAAGCGGCTACCATGCTTAAATCTCTGAAAACTACAATAAGCCCTAACCTTTGGGATAATCAAATTTTGAGTACGTTTATAAACAAATTAGCGACTTTTTTGATGACGTGGCATTAACTATTACGTGGATACCAGCACTGTCAACCGAAGCGTTCCCCAGAACAGGCAGTTCCCAGCACTGCTAATTGCCAGAAGCTCCTCCCAGAAAAGACTTGTAGCAGTTCCACGAAGCTTATGGGAATGCTTGCTTGGGTGGTAGCGGGCCAGACAGTCGCCATCCTTGTGGATCAGAGATTTTCTATCATGCGACTACTTTGACACCAGGACGGTGGTGGATTCTGGTATTGGTTCATTCTCAGCTGCGCTTCCTGATGGAAACGCCGGACACCTCAGCTTGGGACACCCGGCCAGGGAGATGATTCCCTTCATCGGAAATCGCTGCCTGACACCCAGGAACGCCTCTCACTCACGACGAAGAGGTAAACCGTTGCGTGTGCTTCAAGTAACACTTCATGGAAGTTATACAATACATACCCCTGAAACGAAAAAGCAATGACTTTTAGAAGTCTGTCACATGAACACTCCTCATTACTTTATTTGCCGGAAAATGCTTGGAAATCGACGAAAACTAGGAAAAGTCTCGCATGAAAGCCAACAAAAGCTATAGTTCGCCGCAGATGTGTTAAACATTAAGTAAGAATTTAGCGTAGAAAAAATCCAATCACTTACCTTAGGTGAAATAAAGATCTTAGCACTTTCTTTTCTGATAGCCTGAATGTTCTCCCGTCGTTGCTGTTCAAAAACGCTCCCATCGTTCACATCCTGGGTGGAATTCAATAAAATCGAACAACTAGGCAAACCGTATAGCAGCCCAAAGCACATATAAACACGAAAAGTAAAGGAACAAACTCACGATACACAATAACACTCAGTACACAATAACAAAAAAATAAAGGAAGTACACAGAAAGAACATACTTTTTCATTTGCAGTTTTCAAAACATCGTTCGCTCTAAATTTCAACGTGGAAGCATCGACAGTTACGATGTTTTTCTTAAAATAGATTTCTCCAATATATGCAAATTTCCAGGAATTTCGTATAGAAACAAAACAAAGAAAACAAACGCACTAAAAGTAAACATACTTTTCCGAAAGAGATCCATCTTGGTGCTTTGCACTCAGATCGACCTGTCAATTGATTGTCTCCAATCGAGTGCTAAGAATTGTTAATAACTTTGTATCAAACGATTTTTAAAAAATCAAAGATTTGTCATATACAGGTAATAAAAAAAGACACTGTATATCTTCAAAACTTAGAGGACAACGTGAGTTAGTTTCCACTCATAAATGAAGAGACGGATCTTCCTTCTTGAACTCACACTAGTTCATTTTGGCTCTGCTCTTTTATTTCGTCGTAGAAGTTCCCTGTTGTGCTCCTTTTACTCTATCTAGAATTTATCTAACATATACTAGCGTACCAGGCGTCAAACCAAGAAATTCGCTGTTGCACGCACCACTACATTGCTACACTCTACGCTTAACGAGACATAAAAGAGCTTTTACAGTGGACTTTGCATATCAATCCACAAAGACTGTTACTGGTGGGAAAGTCCAGAATTGTCAAGTGTCACAGATGATGCAGGTACTATGGCATCGTTGTGGACCGCAGCATTCCACCTGAGTCCTAAAGTGGTTATTAGCATTTTTAACACAAAGAAGCACAAAGACTGTTGCTAATCAGGTTCTTGTACGTGCTGGGTAGATCGGACGCTGTGAGTTGGCTTCGAGTTGAAGCGAGTGCGAAAAAAGTGTGCGAATACGCGGAACTACATGAAATTAGACGCCGAACTCAAAATGATAAATTGGAGAGCACCACGTTTGTAAAAAAACAAATCTTAACGCGAAATGGTAGTTTCTATCAAACATACTCGCTCAATCATCCATTTATCGATTAACTTCTCTACGCGTCCCCCGATAACTTCTACATTCGATGAGTTTAAAATGAGGAAACCATTCTCCACATTCACCATGCCAGAAATCAGTAACTTCGTGCCAGGAGGTGTATCAGCACTAAACTGAGAATTACTGCATGACTACCATCAACATGAAGACTAATTGTGACAAGAAATATGATACACCACCAAAACATACTTTATTCCGTTTACGTTATCCAGCAGAATAGCAGAAATCGACGTGTGGCCATCGATGAGAAACAACCGTCCCACATCATCACTACCATGCAAACCATCTTTCAGTCTCGGTTGTGACACATTTCTGAAAGCACCTCTTCGAAGAAGAAATAATCAGTAAAGATTCGTTACGAAAATACTGATGAACAATTTGTATTGGGAATGAAGCAAACACCTGTATCTGACTAACTGAAGAACAACAGGGCCAGTCAGCGTCTCTTTATTCATACAATTTGACAAGCACGGTTCGCCAAAATCACGAATATCAAGCTGAAATTGGAGAACCCAACAGATTTGGTTTGCCGATTAATGTATGCAAACACATCACAAACACCTCGAGAACGCAAACCAAGGTTTCCATGCACCATGGTAATAAGAACGGACTAAAAGGAAAAGGAAGTTCCATGGAAAACACATAACACGCACAACACTTACATCACAGAGTTTATTTTCTAGTATCCTTTTATCAGGAGGTATAGATGTTTCTTTGAACAACTCAGTCAGAATGCCTTCTTTAACATGCCATCCAGAATAAGAAGTCATAACGACTGCAAGAGTAGTATGGCTTTGTTTCAAAGAAAATGGACACATCAATAATACTCACAATATTCGGAATGGCTTTACCCAGCAATATATAACACTTGTTTAAAAAATGTTCATTGCAAATAATCTAGAGCAAATTCTAATCGAAAACCGATTTTTTAGTCAAGGAATAAAAGACTTCCTCGCCCATAAAGACAAATGAAAAGATACAATGAGGAACACTGAATTCTGACAAACGGTGAAATGTAGAAATAGAATCCTACTACGTATCGAAATAATTGGTCACTCAATCAAGACTGACAACAGCACAAAAGTATCAAGCAATACAGCTGTTCTACGCCAAAGGAAAAAAATCAACACGTACTGAACGACCCATACCAAGGCTAGAGATCCACTATCTGTTGCAAAGGAACTGTACAGCAAAAATAACTACAGGGTCGACGAATCTCTCTCAAAGAACACTCTCGACCTATTGACGGAAGACTCTAAAAAAAGTCACATAAAACAAATTTTAAAAAATATTTTCCTTGCATTTCCAGGAAAACTATGCTAGGCCACTGCCATATCGTTCGCATAGGCAACGAAATACCCCATACTACAAGGGAAATTCTTGCAAAACGATGGAGATTGTTAGTATTGAATACAACCACAATGGTACCGAGATATGTGCAAAATTCCGGACGGCAGGTGTCCGCGGTGTGGATCGGACGCGCTATTATCCTTTCCATGTACTAACACGTTCACCCCCGGATCTTTCGTTTCACCTTCCTCTCAGTTATTTATCTATTCCATCAGTGCGGTCAGCAATCAGCCGCCAATAGGATTGCTCTGGGAAGTAGAAATCGGCATTGAACCCGGCCAAGCTAAGGTTGACGGTTGATTGCTCAAGGCACAGGTAGATAGAAAACTAGCTAAGAGAAAGACGAGACGAAGGACCCACATAGTGGGGTGGTGAACGCGTTAGCCCCGGGAACGTGTAATGGCATGTTCGAACACCACCGCGGACACCTACGATCTAGAGTTTTGAAAATATCTCAGCATCACCACGGCTGTATCTTACACAAAACGCTGCCGTGAAAAATTGTAATAGGTAGTACATAGAAAGTTAACATTGTTAGTGTTTCTTTGCTCTTAGCTTAGTTCCCTAACTAAAGTGTTAAACTCCCTCTACTCCTGATAGTAATGGAGAGAAATCCTGACCTTATTTTCCAACGAAAAACCTACAGACACCTCTATGCTACAATGAAGTGACTGGTGATAAATGAATGAGTAAATAGAATGTAAATATAAATGTATACGATAAGACATACATCAGGAGCTTGGAAGTATGTGCACGGGATCGAGTCGCCATATCCAGGAAATAAAACGTCGAAGAAAAACGACCCACTTTCTAATGCCGTGATTTCATGGATATTACCTCGAAACAGTTGTTATGAAATTCCGATAGAACAATCATAATTAAACTAGAGTAACTCCTCAACAAGGATTCTGGACAGAACCTTATTCACATATGAGGAAAATTAGCAAATATTCCCATAACAGTGCAACCACCACAACGTCAAGTGAAGAAAAACATACCTTCAACTGGACACAAGTGAACACATCCGTCTCCCTTCTTCAATATTCGCTCTCCTTCATATCTCACTTTTGTTAGGCCGGAGAAGTGTTTCCCGGAACAATCCAAGAATGAAAACGACTTCACCTATAGAAAATGTGAAAGAAAAAAAACAACGACGACAACTATATCAACCTCGCATCAGCTGAACAAAATTAGTTCTTAAAGACATACAAATTAATGTATTATTACGGATTACTTGTAAGTTTGGTGGCTATGCTACTCTGAAGGCATCAACCAATATGATACAATAATCCAACAAATATTAAACATTCACAACTTAGGGAACCGAACTTTTAAGTTACATGAAGGAAAATTCTCATCTACATACATTCATTAACTGCGAAAATAACGTGTTCACCTCTCGATGTTCCATATTCATAATTGACTCAATAAAGTTCCCATGAACAGATATCGAAACGATATCATCATTTCTAAACCACATTTCCCCGTAAATCAATTAGCTTTTCGGCCTTATAGTAAAATATCTCAGCTCATGACGAAATGTACTCTTTGAAGTAAAACAACGATTTACCAGTCCTTGCCGATGAAACACGATTTCTGGTTTTTAGCATTACAGCGATTAAATTCTACTATTTGGTTGATCAAAAAGTTTTCGTTTCCGCTTTTTCAAGTCGAGGTTCAAATTTCGAACAGCAAAGTGGCCGAATAAGTGTGGACTTTCATTCATCACGACGTGAAAATGTTCCCACATCAATCGTTATTTGCTCGCTTTGCAATCTCATCAATTTTCTTTGAAAATTTCAACTAATTTCGAATTGCTAAGAAGTTTCGTAAATGTACCTTAAGAGCTCCTCGCAGAACCGTCACAAATCCGTGCATAGTAGGATGATCGTGAAGTGGAATGACTTCTCCCGAACGGCTGAAACCGAACACAGACGCATGTACAGTCGGGGAATCGTATAGAAGTCCGTATAGAACTGGTGACATCTGTGCAGCACATAAATCTGCTGGAGGAAGGTCGCCTGCAATTTCTTCCGTGGAACCATAGTTTTTAAATCAAGACAACGCCCAATGAAAGCCTCTATCTCAAATTTGTTAAGCGATCCAAAGCCGTGCACAATAAGTGTTCCTCATGCCATATCAAAGGGTTTCCCTATAATGGATTCTGAACAATTTCCTCCAGGCGTATTAGCATTAGTTCGGGCCCCTTTTTCTCCTAACTAACCCAGTAATATGGATGCTGGTGACGCAAAATCTCTAATGCATTTTCACATGTTTTGATGTCTTAAAGAGTTTTATGCCTTTGTGAACATATCACAGAACATTTCAATGCGCGGATTTCCACAAGTACCTCCATAAAAACAATCTGTGGAATTTTTTGGACGACGCAATACCGCAATCGTTCTCAGGATGACATTATGCGATACACTCTGCGTTCAGTAACATCTTGTCACAATCTTAACCACAATATTACACTGACTACAAGTTTCTTCCAATAATAAAACAAAAGACAGTCCCATTGTATTGCAAGAGTATTTATATATGACGATAGGATAGCCCATTGGTAAAGACTACTTATTATGCGGACGCCATAACCTAACTAGGCACTAGTTCGACGCTACTGATTCCAACTAGCATCGACTCCAGCACGATTCAATGACAATCGTGACGAAGAAGAGAAAATTCTCAAGCAGGACCTTAAGCAACAGGCAAGAAAGTTCGAGGACTTTCATGGATGGAGGATACGAGGAAACGAACCCCATGTACGAAGTACTGGGATCCGCATAGCGTGTATCGGGCCATATGACAAAAAATAAACGTATATATATATATACATATATAAATTTACTGCGACAACACAATTTTAGCAATAACGGATTGCGACTGCAATTCGACGACTTCAAATTCGAAGAAACTGAATTGAAGCTATTCCACATTACCGCAATATAACTGCCAAGGTTTCACTAGTACAGTTTCAACGGCAAGTAGAAGAACAGTCGAACATACTACTTAGTGATCCTTCTTATGAATGGCGAGCATAAATCAATTCTACCTGATTTATCCACGGAAGTATGCCTTGGCTGCAATTATCTTAAATCTCAAGTTGTCTATTACATTTTAGAGAACTTCAATCATAAGTGGTGGAAAACAGCAAGCAACAATACGCTTGTATTTCGCGATCTACCGCATACTCCTTGTTTTGAATGGTGACATTTCAAGTCTTGTGAAAACAAATCCGTTTGAAGGTCTTCTTCAACTCTTTCGTAAATGTTTTTCGTTTCGGACGGTTTTTGAAGGCACTGAAGTACTCGCTGTCGGACCAAACAGAATACAGGTCTAAGGTTCATTTTTCTCAGTAAACATATACTTTCGCTAGTTATATCCCCTTTGAAGCAAAGTTTGGAGAATTTGAAGTAATACGCATGGCGCTTGTTTGAAAAATATTACCTAGAAATGGTCCCATCTTTGAAAGAATCAATCGGTACGTTTATAGAAGATCAATGCTATCTAGCTGTGATCACACTTTATGAGGTACTTTTACATAATAAGGCAAAGATACGTCGTTAGAAACGTGCCACCGTCTCGAAGACGACACTATCAAAGAATTCGTAGGCTTCGTTCTAGGGTTTACGCTAAAATTTTTGTTTTTATGTCAATAACCGTTATGGCTGGATTCCTAGGCATGTCAAACGTACTGCAGGAAGACCACCAAGTCGATGGTCAGAGTTCTTCACGAAAAGTCTAGAAAAAAGGTATGATGCTCAACTAGCCACTACAGCGAGAAGAACCCACAGGGTTTTTTTGCACGAGACAGGAAAAAATGGAAGTTTTACTGGCGCCCGCCCGTGTCACTAGACGATCAACAGGACGACGGGTAACAGGTGACAGATGTCAATACTCACTATTCAATATCTATTATGAGCTAATACCGATGCAGTTGAGCCTAATTGTTTACTTTAATCCAGAAATCCTGCCAATGGTATAGCGCTTCATCGTGGCTGGGAGGTGTTCCTGGGTGCCATGTTGCGATGTACAGAGGGGATTCATACCCTAGCAGGGTCTCACAAGCTGCGAAGAAGTCAGACGTTTCCACCAGGAAGCCCAGCTAAGAGTAAACCAATACCAGGATCCACCACCGTTCTGGTATCAAACCAGTTGCGTGCTGATAAATCCTCCCGCATCCCATCTCTTTGATCCACAACGACGGTAACTGCATATGGTGGTGATGACCTAGGGCAGACTTTGGCCAGGCCGACCTCGGGACTCCAGGGAAGCACAATGTCTAAACCAGCAAAACTCGGGAAAAGTGGAAATTATGTTGGGGCCTGCACAACCAGTGAAGACGTGCCATCCAAGTATCCAAGTAAATGCAGAATTCGACGGTAACTGCAATATTTTGACACGAAAAAAATCGGAAGTTGCACCAGTTTTTGATTAGGAAATTGCGTCCTAACACTGGGGTGCATTCTGGTCGATGCTAAGAGATAATCTGCAAAACAAGAAAAAACTCTGTACACATACCTACCATGGACTCGTTCACTGTACCGACGATGGTTGCGGTCTCGTTGATGGCGGTCACATCCCCACGGATCACACGTTCAGCACAGGTGAGTAGTCGGGCCAAAACATAACGTATACCTTTCTGCTCCATCTCTACCGGACAATGCAACTGAATGATAATTGCCAACACTAAGATGAAATAGCCATTCATTTCTTTTCAGTGTGTGGAAACACATGAAAGTAGTAATTCTAATATAAAATTCGTACTTTTGGAACTCTATAACAAATGTATATACATATATACGCACCTAAATATACATATATACATGCATATATATATATATATATAAATATATGCAAAAGAAAAGGATAAAGCTCTTGGCGTTCACCAATTCTTAGGAGCTGCGCCACGTATTCGACTTCATTGAGGATCGCTGGAAGTGAAGGAATCCTTATCTGGCCTTTACAATGACTCGCCGTGGCCTAACGATGTATCGAGCCAGTGCTGCTACCCTCCTATACAAGTCTGGTACCAATTTGCCGACCCCGAAGCAATGGAGGGCTTGGTCAGCCTGGAGGGCGGGATCGAATCCATGTTCATTACAATGAGCCTTCGACCACTGCACCACACGTTCCCATACTATATATATATACATATATACATATATATACATATATACATATATATATATATATACTTGCTTGATAGTTGACACTTGAATAACCCCTCCTCAGTGGTTGTGCGGGCTCCACCATAATCTCCATTTTTCGGAGATTTGCTGGCTAAACCATTGTGGTTCCCTGGAATCCGGAGGTCAGCCTGGGCAAAGCCTGCCCCAGGTAGGCGCCATCACATGCAGTTACCGCCGTTGTGGATCGGGTGGGGGGTATTTGTCAGCATGCAACTAGTTTGATACCAGGACGGTAGTGGATCCTGGTATTGCTTTACTCTTAGCTGGGCTTCCTCGTGGAAACGTCAGACTTCTTCGCAGCTTGTGAGACCCTGCTAGGGTATGAATCCCCCTCTGTACATTGCAACTCGACAACCATGAACACCTCCCAGCCACGATGAGGCGGTAAACAGTTGGTAGGATATATATATATATATATATATATATATATATATATAATCTGATAATTAGAATTTGAAAGCTAAAGGAACTAAAACATGAGAACGCATATTTTCGACAATGTTTTCGCAACAAATGTTTTCAAATGTATAACAATTTGCACCTAAACCTAAGCCATTTAACTTTTCTTGTGAGCTCTGCAATAGGAATATATGTGTTTTCAACGAGAAATACGTCTCCTTACTCCAAAAGAGCACTATTATCCGAATATTTATAGCAAACATATCTTCTGAGGCTATTTATCACCGGCATTGTCATAAGGAAAGTGAAGAAGAATCGATGGAATACTTAAGTGACTTCTAAAGCAAATTGTACTAGAACAACGAAACGAATATTATGCTTTTCGGATACATTGAGAACCTGTAAAAATTTCAAAAATGAGACATCAACTAAAACTCTCCAGAGAAATTGAATTACAGTATTACGACATTTCTAAGTGATAGCGAAGTAAAAAAATGTGAAAGAATATAAATTCCTGAATTGTTATGAAAAACTTTGAAATGTCGTTGAGATAAACAACGATGAAAATCTCAGAAATTTAAAACCATACATATCCTAATAAGAAGAATCAGTACGTTTAGGAGCGCCAAAATATCTCCAGAATTACACTAAACCTTGAAGGTTTTTGTCATAACCTATAAGAATGTCAGACTTTGGGTCAGGATGCGATATGCTCCACGTGGTTAATTGGCAGGTTACGCTGCAGTTATCCTTCAAAATGAAGAATTCGTGAACTAGCGAGTGGAAAAGTTGTGCATTATCTGTCGAGTAAATCGGAAACCACACCGTAGCGAGAACATCAGGCGATTCATCGACATCTTAAATTTTTCAATAAAGTTCAAAAAATCCGCTTGAAAGTCAAAAAATCTTCTTCATGATCTTCGTTCACCTGTCTGGACGACAACGCTCCACATTCCAGCCTGTAGATTAGGAGTATTCAATTTCTGCAAATTCAGCGTAGCGAACTGTATTCCTCGAATAGAATCATAGGGCTCGAGCTTCTGGGTAGCGACGGGCTTCAAATTTGGACCGCGCCATACGAATCGTACAAAAGGGCTGGTCTTCGTGGTTTCGTTCACAGAAGTAACTGTACCAGTAACACGACTCCAACGCACAGCAACTGTGGGAGACGAGTTCTTCAATACACTTATTACTGAAAGCTATGACTGCTTACACCATTTCCTTCTAAAAATAGGAAACTTACCAGATCAGCATAGGCTGTTATACCACGGAAAATCTCCTCCTTATGATCCATATCCATGCCAGCAATTACAGCCTAAGTTTTCTATAAACGTCTCACTTGAAAAAAAACAATATTACTGTACCTCGAGCTTGAATCCGTCTGTAATTGCTGGAGAATGTACATCAGATAGTGACTTACGCTCAACCAGTAACTGTAATGGGACGTCAGTGGAATCAGTCTGAAAGGAAACCGCTATAAGAATTTAGAAAGAATCCCATGAAGTGACTGGACAGAAAAAAAGCAAGCAGAGAAATATTCATATTGTACAATATCTAGAAATCATCGAAAACAAAGAGAGACAGCCGGATATACGGTAGTAAGAAAAGCGAACAAATGGGAAATACTTGAATCAGTATTCTTAGAGCAGCCGGAATTGCTATTAAAAACCAATAAACGTAAAACTTCACGGTTCTAACCACACCAAAAAAGACGAGTGTGGCGCAGTGATCGAAAGCGCCTTGCAATACACACGAGATCGATCCCCGCGCCCCTGGCTCACCAGGCCTGCCATCTCACCGAGGTCGACAAATTGGTACCAGAGTTGTCTGGGACGATAGCATTACTGTCTCGATATATCGCTAGCCTACCGCGAGTCATTGCAAAGGCCAGATATGGAATCAACCACCTCCAATTATATTTAATGAAGTGGAATGCATGGCGCTTCCCTGAGGGTTTGATCAACGCCAAGGGCTTCATCCTTCTTTTAACTAAGACAGTCATTCATATGAGCAATTTTTCAATAGTTTCTAGTTTTGTATTCTCCACGTTTTTTAGCTTCTTCACAAATGTTAACGTTCATATACTAAAATTGAGGATAATAGATTAATATGTAACTTACCCAAAACATAAAACATGGAGTCAATACAAAAGTAAATTGCTCAAAAAAGCCACTAGATATTACAAACATTCGGTACTACAGTAATGAAAGAAGAAAAAACCTGTATCGTGAAGACCATCTGATGAGGAGCAGACGAATGCATTTTTACAACATCAATCCTGGATAAAGAAACAAACTGCGCATCTTCCGAATACATGGAAAGAAGTGATTTGGCCACCATTGAAAACGGTTGAGCTGAAATTGCACAAACAACGGAAAATATGCATTTATTTTAATGTATATTGTGATGAACGAAAAATTCTACGCCGACCCAAGGCTCGGGTAACCAAAATTGGATGTAATCGCGAATAAGTTTAATACTTAATTTTAAGACGGTGACTGAAGAGTGCTTCATAAATCAAGGTTGACAAAGGACTAACAGACTTCACACTTACAGTATCCATCAATATCTGCTTTATAGTGATTAACGAAGGTTACATTAAACATTACATCGTTTGTATGGAGCAGATGTGGTCTACAACATATCTTCTTTACATATATTGAAAAGATCACATATGAAAGCCGTTACATTCCAAACTAACCTATCCTTCATAGCTTGCTCTTCTGCCAGTGCAATGGCGTCGATGTCTATGAGACTTTCGAATTTTCTGGCAAGATGGAACGGTTTCGCAACTGCATTCTAAACCTATCACAGTTTACCTTGATTTTTGCTCACATGTGTTAAGCTGAAGTAAACAACTGAAACTACACGAATCATTTCTTTAACAACAAATTTAACAACATTGCTGAAAAACACTCCCACATTACATCTTTCTACTTCTGTTCAGCAAGCACGAGGTGCTATTTTATTTCTTTATTTACGCACAAGCTGACGTTTCGGCGGATTTCGCCTTTCTCGGAGCCTGGAAGGGTCAAGTTGACAGCAATCCACTCGGCCAAACACCTCCATAACCAAACAGAGAAAACGCTAAACCAAGATTTCAATCACATTTAGCATAGCTCTGCACACTCACCGCTCGCTTTCTATGATGAGTCTTACACTGAGTATGTCGCGTGAAGAGCGACCGCACAGAATTCACATGGAAGTGTAATAAGCCCCTCCCATCAGAATAACAGGTTTATATACTGTCCAATATCACGCGTGATAACGAGGCATTCCTCCCTGCGGTTCATTTTCGGATTCTTGGAATTTATCCAGAACGCCTCTAGAGTTTTGCGCGCTTGTGTTCTCGATTCTTGTGCGAGGATCGTAACCCTTACTTCAAAATCTTCTCCGTTATGTTTCTGCGTGCTATGCGTACCTAGTGGAGTACTTAGCTTACGTTTGCCGACTAGGTGTTCTTTTATACGGACGCAGAGTAGTCTATCCGTTTCGCCAACGTATTCATCCCCGCACGCTTCACAAGAGATCAGATAGACTGGACCCGAACTCATGCAGTCACCGTCTCTACCATTGGAGCAAATTATGCAATTTTCGTTGCATATAGACGGTTGTATAGGCGGTTACAAACTAGTTGGCGCCTTAGATTATTCGGTGGTATTTCGATTATCGTTTCCGAATTCTCTAGACTGGCCCTTCTTAAACAGAGTTCTATAGCTGCACTTACTTCATTTGAAATGAAGGGCAGTATAAACGGGACTTGTTGTGGCTAGAGTTATCGTTGGGGTACCTGTGGTTTCCTCTACACCTATCTGGAGCTACGGTTTCGTAGCCATTAAAAATGGCTATTTGCCGTGCCAAGTTCCGGGACTCCTCTCTCTGATGTCTCCCTGTGCACACGCTGGTAGCCGTTCGATACATGTTTCTCACAAGCGCCCTTTTCGTGTGAGAGGGATGAGAGGAGAGGTAATGAACTAGGATGTTTTTACTACTTGGCTTTCGATACCACTTCGTAATGTAGCCGTTTTCTGATAGGCTAATTTACACGTTCAGAAATGGAAGCCAGTCTTCTTTTGGTTTCCCTCGGGTGAATTTAATATACTCCCACTGTGTGTTCAACAACTCGAAACATCTGTCAATTTCTTCTTGTGTTCAACAAATGACTAAGCAGTCATCTATATATCTACAGTAGAGTAACGGACCGAGGTCGATTACTGGCGTTTCCACCTTAGACATGAATGCAATGGCAAGGCTTGGAGCCAGTCGTTGTTCCATTGCCAGCCCTCTCATTTGTGCGTAATATCTCCCGGACCATCTGAAGATTGAGCAGTTCAGGCACTCCTTTAAGAGTGTCATCAACTGCTGAATCGAGAAGCCGTACATACTTATTGCTCCTTCGTGTTGTATAAGGAGCTCGTTTATGGCTTGCATAGCGGAGTCATTCGACATGTTCGTATAGAGGGCAGTGACGTCGAAGGACTCCACCACGTACGCGCTGTTGAGTCGCGCGTTACGTAGACGATCCAGGAACATTTGGGTGTTCGTTAGATGAGCTGGAATGCACTTCAACAACTGAGTAAGTATTAGGGTTATTAACCACGTTATTCTATCTGTTGGCCCGTCCACGCAGTTAATGATAGGTCTAACCTTAAATAACGATGGATCGGTAGACACGAGATCATCGCTGGATACTAACTTATGGGTTTTGATAAGTAAGTACAGGACGGGACATGTTGGTAATTCAATTTTGAGAAGAGAAATAACTGATGGTTTTAACCCGGCCGCACTTGCCACTTTAACCCATTCGTTGTTTAACTTTCGGTATTGACTTTTACATTCCTTCTCAGAATTTCTCTGACGATAAAGGGAAGCATCTTCAAGGTGCTTTTCCGTTATCTCAACATCTAATTGATGGGGAATTACAACGAACTCTCCACCCTTATCACTAAACGATAGTCATATGTTTTTTGATCTTATCAGCTCTCGTACCTCCCGCATACCACGTTTTTGTATTTCAGTGAGGTTGGAGCAGTATCTTTTAGCGCGATAGTGATTAAGGACTTTGAAAGTTTCATTCGTAAACATCCGAAATTTAACATCGACTTCATTAATGGGCTCTTGTTGTCTAAAGAACGGTTGAGGAAATGGTGGTACTAGTATTGCCCCTACTCTGTTGTTGTTCGCGCCTATTTTGCGCCTCATCCCTAGCTTTTTTAGCGGAGTCTATCTTGAAGTTCATGTAAACTACATGCGACCCTACGCAAGGTTACCTTAGAAATGGGTTCAGATGGTGAGAAACTCGGTCCCAATTCTAATAACGAGCGCGCCCCGTCAGAGAGGGTTATGCCTCCTAGCACGCTTAACCTTGAATTTCTTTGCACATTATTTATCTTACTGTGAATCGTTTGATCTTCGTTCGGAAAGAAGAAAAGAAAGAAAAGAAAGAAGAAAAGAAAAAATTTTTCTTCTTGAAATCCGCCGAAACGTCAGCTTGTGCGTAAATAAAGAAATAAAATAGCACCTCGTGCTTGCTGAACAGAAGTAGAAAGATATATTCAATCAATGCCGAGGTTAATAGAAAGTCGGACTTGGGAGTTACTCCCACATTACTTTTTAATACGTTTCCGCAATATTTTCTTCAAAATCTTTGGCAATTAAAAGAAGAGGAAAGAGTGAAATAGGCAGAAATCAGATAGATCAAAAAGGATAGAACAATTTTCGGTGTGCTCTTTCACTGATATTGACCAGATTCGGAAACCAACGTGAGCTAAAGCTCCTAGTACAACCGAATTAAACATAACACATGGAATTTGGACAGCTCGTCCTCACTGATTGTGAGATCCCCAACATATTCTCCATATTCAGAGTTTGGCTGGTTTAGCCATTGCGTTTCCCTGGAGTTCCACTCTCAGCGTGGCCAAAGTTTGCTCCAGGTCTTCACCACCACAGGCAGTCGCAGCCCTTGTGGAACAGAGGGAAACTTACCACCATGCGACTTTGCTACTAGGACGGTGGTAAATCCCGCTGTTGGTTTACTCCTAGCTAGGCTTCGTAGTAGAAATGCCGGACTCCTTCTCAGCGTGGGAGACCATGCCTGGGGATGAATCCCCCCTACTGTTCATCGCAGTCTGACATCCAGGAATACCTCCCAGCTACGAAGAGGCGGTAAACCGTTGAAGAGGAGTTAAACATACGTGAAAAGACCACTACAGCAACTACGTCAAATACTGCTACTGTAACCAACTAGAATATAAGGTGTAAAATATATGCACCTTGACAGAAAATTTGTGAGCATGCTCCTTTTTGAAGACTAACGGAGAACAACCGCACCAATCGACAACATTTTTGAGGCTTTCGCAGCGGCAGCCTGAAAAAGCTAAGCAGATTATACGAAAGAAGATAAAGAGGACAAAAATTTAGTCCTACATTCGTGGTTACATCTATATTCCAAAACATGTGGGGTTTTATCACGACTAATATCATTATAAATCACAGTGTAGAAATGCGTAGCACAGAGCGATCATTCCATACAAGCCACCAAAGGATTGGTCTCCTAAGCTGAGTTCAATATTTTCATCAGAGTCCTGCTAAGAGTAATACGATGACATGAATCACCGACTTCCCGATAGAAAAGGAGTCGATAGGTAACAGATCTCATTCTGAGCCACAAATGAAGACTGTTGTCTGTTGCCTCTACATGAGGATGCTCCAGTTGTGTTACCTTCAGGAAAAACAATAAAGCGGGGTATGACCCATTAAACCAGACATAGTACACCTGGACTCAATTGCAAAAGACCTCACTGGAACCGGATCAAAATATCAAGTCTAGCATATATCAAGAAGAAGTTTTTTGGCTCCAATTTAGCCATTACGCACTATTTTCAAGCTTGTCTTCACGTCGTAGATCAAATCGCATATATGACTGCCCCACAAGAAAGGAAAGCAAACCTTCAACACCCATTAAAAATCGTAAGTAGTTTGTCATTCATGATGAAAAAACCCCACAACGAAATGGCGGCGAGTCACATTTTTTGTGCATAGATCTATTATCTATCATGCTTTCTCATTTGAGTTCCTATCATCTCGTCTCACCATACTTCATCGTCAAACTCCCACAACACATTTCTTCCATGGAACCTCACTTCTCAAGAAGGAAAATCATTGCTGGGCATGGGAGCTATTTAAGTACACAACTCCTGAGTACATTGATCACATTCTTACGTGCAGAATACGGTGAGGCCTTCACAAATCAGTAGCGACTTCATTCTGCGGTCAATCCGAGTACCGGTTTCTACGCACCAAGGAAAAGGAACTGTTTTGAACAGTGGGGTTCTTCGTCCTCATATTAGTAAAAATACAACCCAAATCTCCTAATCAAATGTCCAGCATTAGAGAACTGCGTTGGAAACGTCCCAATTCTTCGTTCAAGAAGTTCGGATCACGTTTGTCCGAGGACAGAAATGGAATCCAGTAATACTGCAACGTGATAATAACTGCCAGCTACAGATCTTTGTAGGAGGATTGACGTTGGAAGTGCAAGAGCTTGCAAGAGTGATATGCAAAAAAAGCTGTTGAAAGTAGCCTGTAAAAGAACCAGTCTAAAGAAATGGTGCCGAGGCCAACGTGAATATCCGCTAACAGGCTTGATGGACGGAGATGGATTTACTATAACCGGCCTCTACGAAAGAGAATTAATGAATGAAAATTCCTAATTCAATCGCTTCATGTCAGCAGGCCTTGTAATAATTCACAAGACCTACTTTCTATTAACCTCGATACTGACGAATAACCCACAGTTT